TTTCTTGAGGGGTATTGGGGGTGGAACCATTAGGGGGCCTGCCCAGCTCAGGGGCTGTTATCCAGCTTCACCCCCAGGTAGCGGGGATGCAGTGGCTTGCATCCATATAGGAGCTCAAGATCTGTCATCCCATGTGGTTTCACCCAGCAGGTGGGCTGAGCATTGCCATCAGGTCACTGGTGGGTCACCTGATGCATGGATCAATCCCCCATGCTTCGCCAGTGCTCCAATGGCTCTGATCAGTAAAGTTGTGGCCATGGTTTACTCCAGCATTGTGTCAGTATTTTGTCCTCTTGCTACCTCCCCTTTTGTCCCTAGGTCCACAATCATATCCACTTCATTGCTTTGGGAAAGAGGCTGAGTTTTCAACAACATCAGTTTGCTTAACAGCAGTTATTGTACAATCCTATGCAGAGTTACTCCAGTCTAATCTGTTTTATATCAGTGAGCTTAGACTGGAGTAACTCAGCATAGGGCTGCACTGTTAGTGAATTTGCAGCCAAGGCCTCTTCTAGATTTCCCCCCACCACCACCCTCTTGGCCAAGTCCTATTCTCTCCTTGTTACGTCAGCTTTGTAAAGACCCTCTGCTTTATCAAATGATACATGGATGAGCATGAAGAGAATGCACTAACACTGCTTTTCTCTTTAGAACATAATAATATGCACTATACGAAACTGAGCCAAGTTGTTTCCTTTGAAGCATGAACACTGGGGAGTGTAATGGTTCTGATTCCACTGTGGAATTATTGGTCATTCACTATTCATTTCATACTAGGTTTGGTTCACAGTCACTGTCTTCATATCACTTACTGGAGCTTTGAAGTCATTCCATGGGACTCATCATTCATTGAGTTGGTGTGACATTTGATCTTTCCATCACTGTAACGTTTGACGTGTGGTAGAATGTTGTGTATGTCCACATCTGAAAGAAAGATTTTAGCAATAAGTATGTGATGTGCCTTGCAAAAGGGTAATATATCTGTGTAGGTTCTGTTCAGTATTTCCCCATTGGAGTGTGGAAGGGTATGAGAAAGTACTAAGTTATGTTAGTGACCCACTAAATTCTGCCTCCTGGAAGATGTCAAGACAACCTATTGCATTGACTTTTTAAGCAATTGAAAATCGTTGCTGAAGAATGCTTCCCTTCTTTATCATTTAAAAACTTTGCAATGGTTATACGGATTCAGCACTGAGGAAGATGAATCAGCCACAGTGTCTACGGGGTTTTTCTGTTCATGGATGCCATAACAGATTGTTCTTTGAACAGTATTGCATAAACAGGGCTTTATACCAATTGAGGCAACTTGTTCAAGAGCTCCATAGGGATCTTTTGACAATCCAGGGATTCATAAATATTTCACATAACAGTAGGAAAAGCAGGGCTGAAGGTTGTAGTCATGTCTTACAAGCAGTTTTCAAGCCTGTGGATTAACAAGATGCTTGGTATGTGAGTTCAAAATATAGATGCCTTGAGTGGTCTTTTGAAAACATGAGATTTGACGATACCATACTAGTGTGAGACACTGTCCTCTGTGGCTAAACGTTTTAGACATGTTTGTGTGCAATCCTGAGTGATAGAATTTTATATTTATCATACCTACTATATTTGAAAACCAAGTTGGCATAGTGGCCAGAAGTGCCTTCTATCGGCTATATCTGATTTGCCAGCTGTCTTGTTACCTAGATTTAGCTGATCTGGCCATGCTGATCCATCCTTCTGTGACCTCAGGGTTGGATTACTGCAACATGCTATATGTGGGGCTGCCCTTAAAGACAACCCAGAAACTACAGCTGGTCCAGAATGTGGCAGCCTGTTCTTGGGGGCTAACCACCAGGAATATATGTTGCCTGTTTTTTAAACAGCTGCCCGTCTATTTCTGAGTTCAGTTCAAGGTGCTTGTTACCACCTTTAAAGTTGTTCATGACCTGGGATCCACATATTTGAAGGACTGTCTCCTTCCACATGTTCCTGTGTGTCAACTATGGCACTCAGGTAGCCACCTGTTGGCTATCCCCCCCCTTAGGGTGGCCATTCTGGCATTGACGAGAGCCCAGGGCTTTTCCATCATGGCTTCCACCCTGTGGAATGGCCTCCCTGAAGAGGTGAGGAGGGCCCCTGCACTGGAGATCTTCAGAAGGCACTGCAAGGGCTGCCTATTTGCCAGGACTTTCAAGGGAGTTTGAATGGCATGCATCTCTTAAAGGGGGAGGGGGGGAGAGATTTGGGGTTTGCTGTTTTATTTTCAGTTTTTAACTGAATATGTTTTAACCATTATTGTAAGCCTCCTGAAACCCAAGGAAAGATGGGATAGAAATGTATAAATAAATAAATAAATAAATAAATAAATAAATAAATAAAAGTTCATC